TTACAGTTGTCTAGTCAATAGAAAACCGCAGGGTCTGTCTGCCCATAAAAGTGATTGGAGCCGCATGATTACTTTCAAACACTGGAAAGAGCTCCGAAGAAAATGAATGGCATTTACTGGGTTACAATAGGAAGATGAAAGTTAAAACAAAATATAGCACAAGGCTCCCGAGGCCTCCTTGAGCCATAGTTCCCATCCAGGGAATGCTTGCAGAATTTCAAACTGTCGTCTCTCTGGTCAAAGACAACAGAGCACCTCAACCGTCCGGATTTACACACTCGCTTGTGCCAAGCTTTTGGCGCCTTTCAGGAGGTCACTCAGGACATTTAGAAAGGGATTAGTGGGAACAGACATCGCTCCAGAGTCTGTCCTGACCACAGTGTCCCAGTTTCTTACCCTTTGCATTTGTATCAAGCATCTGTAAGCCGCGGGTGGACAATTCAAAGTGCCTTCCTCCCCAGCCCCAAGCCCTCTTTGAAGGAGTCCTTATTTTAATGGGAGAAGAGCCAAAATAAACAGGCATTTGATGATCTAGTGACAGCTTCTGGTTAGCCGGTCAGCCTGGCGTAGCCATGAACTTCAAGGTCCTGTGGAGCTACAGCGAGGACCAGGGCAGGACTCTGCCAGCCAGGAGGTGAGCGCTTTCGGACTCAGATGATGCAATAGTCACCGGCCTTGGTGAAAAAGGATCACTAAGATGTGGCAGGCCGTAGTGGCTTGGGGAGTTAAACTGTTTTAATTAGCCTATTACACACTCATCTGGCAATTAAGTGTACAAAATACTTAGGGCGTTGAGTTAATGCAAAGAAAAAACATATAAAAAGACCCTGGAATTGCATCTCTCATGCTCTCATAGGGTTTCCTGAGACTAAATGTTTCCGAAGAGATTTTATGCTTGAGAGTCATTTTTCTATTCCCCTCTGCAAGTCAAATGAAATTTGAGGCAGAATTGAAAACACAGAGCCATACAGCAATATTTAATTGCCTCAACAGCTACTGCTGCACTTTTGGGCTTAATGATTTTATTTGCTGCCAACTTCTGTATATATCGCAGGAACGTTTGCTAGCTGGTTTCAGATTTAGGAGCAGAAATTTAAGAAAAGAGAAACAGCACCAGCATTCTTTATATTAACAAAAGGGTCTCTTTCCTCTTGGAGAGTTTTTGTTTCAAGAATACAGAATTATTTGTTATTTTTTTGATCCAGGAAAAATCTGTGAGTTTTCAAGACCCACACATCCTGGCTTAATGGTGCGATCACTTAACCTGAGGAACGGCATGTCACTGAGACCCAAAGGGCTTAATTTCACTGCAAAGGGGGTGTACCCTTGCCAGCGGTTTCTCATTCATTTCCTTTCCACCCCCACTGACAAGTCTTTGATTTGCATTTCCTAGCTTGCTCCTTGCTCTTTCCTGTGGACGATCTTGGGCACACCCGAAAGCCACACTTTGACATATGCTCTGACAAAAGGGAGGGCAAAAAATGAACTCACACTAAGTCTGCCGCATCAAAGCATTCCCCAGGGTCTTTTCCCCTAAGACTAGTGCAATTAGGCTCACAAAGATCCCTGAATTACTAAACACACAGGTGGTTTTTAGTCTTGCTTGGTTACCTTGCAGAAGAAAACCCAGAATTAAAGCACGCAGAGTTAGACTCAAACTAGGGCAGGAACAGCAGCAGGGAAGTGCAGAAGAACTTTACAAAAGGGGCAGCTGGGGACTTCACAGTGCCAAGGACAGCAAGCCTCCAACCTAGCCAGCGGGAGCGGGCATGCATGCTGAGCTACTGACGCCCCAACTCTCGGCTTGTCATTAACCAAAAAGGCTTCCTTTTCTGGTCTTCTAGCTTGGCTGGCTCCAGCAACTCACCAGAAAGATCCTCCTTGGAAAAGGGGCAATTTTAACCACGAAAGGGACACTCTAAGCCAGGATAACAGACACCAACAGGTGCTGTCTTAGGCACAGAGGGACAGGTCATTGCGATCATCATCGGTCCTACTTCTCTGCCCAAGTAACCAATTCCAGACCATCAGCAAACCATCTGACAAACCCTTTTCACCCCCCAGGGGAACTGTTCCGTGCTGATGTTCTTTCTCTGAACACCCTCTCAACTCTTCTGCCCTGTGAAACTCTAGCCTCGGCTACAACTCATCTGCAACTCCCTATTTATGCCACCGTGACTGCTGCATACTCCAGCAGATGGCTCCCCTTTCAAACACAGGGCCACATGCCCCAGTGGACTTTCCATCCTGACTGGTAATCCTTCCTCTGAAATTTGCCTCACAGTATCTTGAAGAAGCTGTTTCCAAATCCCAAGCATTTGCTCATCACTCCTTGCTACTAAGAAACTGTGTGGGCTTGCAGGTCAAATGGCCTATGTGACCTTTAGCAGCCTATGTGACCTTTAGCACTGATGGGTCCCAATTCTTATGAATCAAGGCCCACCTAAGTTTGGTTATCTCACAGGTGGCTCCAAGTAATTAAGTGGGCGCTTGCCTTAGTTGCTGGAGGCATGGGCTGTCCAGCCAAGACAGGTAGGGAATGTGTGTTATTTCCCCTCACCTTGCTGGCTATTGTGAATTCCCCCTTTCCAAGCTATTGTGGACTGCCCTTATAAAAACCTTATGGGGCCCGGCGCGGTGGCGCAAGTGGTTAAGGTCCTCACCTAGCACGCCCGGGATCCCATATGGGCGCCGGTTCTAATCCCGGCAGCCCTGCTTCCCTTCCAGCTCCCTGCCTGTGGCCTGGGAAAGCAGTCGAGGACGGCCCAAAGCTTTGGGACCCTGCACCCGCGTGGGAGACCCGGAAGAGGCTCCTGGCTTCGGACCGGCATAGTATCGGCCCGTCGCGCTCACTTGGGGAGTGAATCATCGGACGGAAGATCTTCCTCTCTGTCTCTCCTCTCTGTATATCCGCCTTTCCAATGAAAAAAATAATAAAAATAAATCTTTAAAAAAAAAAAAAAAAAAAAAAAACCTTATGAATGTGCTGTTCAGGGCCACACTCCAGGTAAGGGGTCAGTCAGCCAGCTGCCTGCTTTCTACCAAGAACCCAGGCTCGGATGTGTTGAGCTTCAATAAACCATCCTTGTGCACTTGGATCAACTTCAGACTCCTGGTGATTTCTGGGGAATCTCAAAATCTGGGCACAACAATCCCAGTTGATAACCTTGCCTTCTCCAGTTCTCCCTTATTACCCTTAGGCTCAGGGAAACCCTGCTGGTTCTTTTACTAACACAACAGTGTTAGCAAAAGATGAGTGTTTTCTTGTTTACTCCTGCCTACCAACCCATCACGTGCATGGCTTCCTGTTTTGTTCAATCAGGCAAGGTTTTTCCCAGGGCCAACTGGTCCTCTGGTCTGTCAGATCCTACCCTCTTTCTGATTTAGGGAATTATCTTGCGATGGCTACTTTTCCCTATGGCATCCACACTTTTCTTTGTAGCATGTAGCAGCTTCCGTCTTGGAACAAACATCATCTTTGACACTATATTCTAACACCCTATCCACATCAGCTGCCTTTATCACAAACTCCCCCAAAGCGATTGCCAAGTAAAATCACAAGACATCCAGTTAGATTTCAGCTTCATATAAAAAATAATATTTCACTCCGACTATGCCCCGGGTGATTACGGGGACATATTTACACCAAAACAAAACGTGAGTATTCAGGTATTCCATGCAATGTTCATTGTGTCTTTAGGATCCAATCTTCCTGGCCATCTTGTTTTCCCTCGCTGTATGGCTATCCTAGGTGGGCTGTCATGTCACATTACCCTTTGTCCACTCGAGGAGAGTGCCACTCTTGTGTGGATGCCAGTGACCGCCCAAAGCTGGGATCAGCTGTCTTTCACAGCTGCTTGTTAAGCTCAGCCTATGAGCCGCTCTTTCCTGAAATTCCTGCCACGCCTCTCAACCCTTCCTTGCTTCCCGTGGCCTTTCCATCTCGGTCTCTGCCTCTTGCTGCTGCCTGCAGTCCCAGTCGCATGTCCTGCTCTTGCACTGCAAGGGCATCTTGCATGGTCCAGAGCAGACATGTCACTGACCACCTCTAGAGACACACAGGTAAACAGGAGGGAATGCTTGAAGCAGTCTTCTCCCCTGAGCCTACTGGATGCACGGCCTCATTTCAAACCTTCAAACTGAAATGGAAGCCCTACTCACGCTGCTTTTTTTTTTCCCTCCTCCTTCCCTTCACCTGCCCTATTTTAGCTGGTGGAGTCACACCATTGCCCTTCACAAGACATCATGCAGTCACCCCTGCCCTTAACCAGCCGCCCAGTCCTGTCTAGCCAAGGCTGGCTGCATTCATTCACCCTGGCTATTCCAATGTCACGCCATCCCACATGGGGCTCCTGGAAGCGATATTCCCAGCTCCACACTAACGGCCTCCCAAGGGAAGCCACTGCCCCCTTGCTCACCCTGTCCTCTTGGCTGTCCTGCCCCTGGAGGAGCTCATGCACGGGTCACCAACCCTCCGGGGAGCCTTGGTCCTGTGGTCCCACAGCCGGCAGCTTCTATGGAGCCTGTCTGGAAGCCACAGCGCAGGGACCCCCATTCTGACTCCGGCGCCCCTCCTCCTACCCCCTCAGCACGGCTGTGAGGCCTGCCATCTGACCTGGTGCTGTCCACCCCCACCTCCACTCCGACCACCCACCCAGTATGCCCTCCTGACCCCTGGCGTCTCCTGATCAGTGCAGCCACTTGACCCAGTGCCCTGCTCCTCCACCCAGTGTGACCTGACCCCTGGGGTAGGAACCCCACAGTGCACTGTTGCCCCGGCCCCCGGTACTCTCTGTGTGTTAGGTTTTCTGGGAGAGGACGCAAGCCGCAGGTGGCGAACCTGTGGAGGCTGAGTTCTCTCCAAGCACACTAGGCCGACCGGCGCCGCCGCCGCCAGGACCCGAGCGAGGGAGGCACGCCCCATCGACGACTCGGCGCTCGACTACCCGGCGAATCGACGCGCTCGGCGATCGCGGTGGGCGGAAGTGAGGCCACTGCCTTCATGGCAGTCGGCGGCCAGTGAGCGCAGGACTGCCAGGGCTGGGGACCCGGTGTTTGCGGGGATCGGCGGCGACAGGCGGGCTGGAGGTACGTGTGGGCGCCCAGAGGGCCTGGCCGACGGCGAGTCGGGGCTTGGGAGTGTCGCCAAGGACTGCGAAGGGCGTGGTGGTGGTGGGGTGCTGGCGCCGGCCTCGGGGTGGTGCACCTGCCCTGCCCTTCCCATAGCACTGCCCGGCTGCTGCAGTGGACACCCCCAGCGCCCCTTCCCCCCGCAAAGCCGTGTCTCCGCCGGGTTGGAGGATTGGCTGGTGGACAGGGAGTTTGTCAGTTGGGTGTGCCTTACGTGGAGGGCCGGGCTGAGCACTTGGTGGTCGGCTGCTGTGAGGTCAGCTGTCATGGAGACCCTCTGGCCGGCACCACCTGTCCAGCCTCCTCGAGCCCCGGCGATGGGTCACCAGCGGGCATTCCGAGGCTTCCCACTTCCATAACGGGTTCCTGGAAAAGCTTTTGTGTTGAAGGAAACTGGTTTTAAGCGGCACAAGGTCAAAAAATAAGGTGGAGATCTGCTTTTTTGTTTGTTTGTTTTTAAGTTTGATAGGTTATGAGTCTGAGAGTACGCTAGGAAACAGACAAGGCGTGTCTTGGGTTGGCCGCGCTTGTCGTTTGGGTGCACTGTGTTGCCAGGGGTTTCAGAGATTCTGTGGCTGCTTCTCCTGAGTGGTGGTCTCTGTGGGCCCCCTCTGAAGCCGCACCCTCTCCCAAGGTGAGCTGTGTGAGTCACGGGGGTGGGGTGAGAAGGCAACGGGTGCTCGCTACTTCAGTGTTCTGTTCCACTCAGGAAATTGAACAGGCCTACACAAGGTTAATACTAAAGTCAAAAAGAGGTGCCCCTCCTCCCCCGAAGCCCACCAAAAAAAAAGAAAACAAAAACCCAGAAGAATTCCGTAGTGTGGCTTCCATCAGAGTCTCCCACGTGCATAGCAGGTACCCAAATATTGGGGCCATTTTCCAGCGCTCTCCCAGGCTCATTAGCAGCAGAACTGGCCTTCTGAGATACCAGTGTGACAGACAGTAGCTTAACCTACTGCACCAGGCCCTGTGGGCTTTTGGCTGTTGCTAGTTGGCGTTTTTCCAGGTGCACTGCAGGAAGCGGGATGGGGAGCAGAGCAGGTGGGACAGGAGCCAGTGTTACCATCGAGGACATTGCCTTAGAGCAACGCTTCCCACCTAGCAGGTGCTGTTGTTTGTAAAATGGGTGGGTTTTGAAGTTTCTTGCCAATGTGGAACCGGAATGAGGAGCTACACTGGGCACCTCTGCCGAGCTGTGTGCTGGGATAGGGAACGGTCCCAGATGCTGGGGAATGTTTTTGGACTCCAGGGTGGTTGAAATTACATGAGAGTTAAATATGCCTCAGAGTGTGTTTGTGGGAACTTAGAGGAATCATTATTGATAACAAGCACACAGACTGGAAACAGTTGCCGAAAAATGTACCCCTCAGAGACTCAGAAGTACTGCCTGGTCCTCACACTGCCCCTGGCCTCCTGGTAACAGTCGCTCAGTGGCTTAGCCTGCTTGGGATCCAGCTCCCCTGTGTGTGTGTCCAGAGCATGTGTAAAACCTTCCAACTCTGAACTTGGGTTCTGTCTCCTCCCCATCTCCTCACCATGTCTTGTTAGGGGCTGTGACTGTGACTGGTATTTATGAGCCAGTCAACAGACCAAGCGTTTACCCTACAGGTTTTCATCATTTTTGTATCTCTCCAACTGTGTCTCTGCCTGGCATGTGAAACATGTAATACTGTTAGCCTACACTCAAGACAGCCGGGGGGGGGGGGGGGGCTGGCACGATAGCGTAGCGGTTAAAGTCCTTGCCTTGCACACACCAGAATCCCATATGGTGGCCGGTTCTAATCCTGGCGGCTCTGCTTCCCATCCAGATCCCTGCTTGTGGCCTGGGAAAGGAGTTGAGGACGGCCTAAAGCCTTGGAACCGTACACCTGCTTGGGAGACCCGGAGAGCTCCTGGCTTTGGATTGGTTCAGCTCCAGCTGTTGGGCTCATTTGGGAAGTGAACCATTGGATGGAAGATCTTCCTCTCTGTCTCTCCTCCTCTCTGTATATCTGCTTTTCCAATAAAAATAAATAAATCTTAAAAAAAAAAAAAAGACAGCCAGGAACTATAGTACTGGGTGTCAGTACGGGTATAGTTCAGAGATGGGAAGGACGAATTGGGGTGAGAGTGATTGGGTCGGCTTCAGGGAGGTGAGACCACAGTGGGGGCAACCTGGAACATGAGTGCCTTGGAGGTCAGGCAAAGTGATGTGGAATTGATTTGTTAGGTTTTTTGGGTTTGAAAATAATAATAGGCCAGCTCAGATATTCCCGGAACATTCTTTGGCTTGATACTGTTGGTAGCATTTAGGGTTGGGTTGGTTTGGACTGCTCACTTTATTTCTTTTTGTTGTTGTGGGGTTGAGCAATTTCTTGTACTTACTACTTTCCACTTAGAATAGGTTAAGGTGGTGCTAATGGACAAGACGCCGGAGGCCGGGGTGGGAAGCCTGGATTGGGGTCTGTGAGAATGTTAGCAGCATGGTACTGGGATGTTGAGTGCGGAGGGCTGCGTGGCGTTTTCGGAGATGGAGGAGCACACCTGAGACGTGCAGGCCTTGGAACTGGTCCATATCGGAAGTCCAGAGTGGACACCTGCTACTTTACTCTCCAGGTTCCTGTTCCTCTCACCCACTTCCGCCACACCTGCTCCGTGACCACCTCAGGAAGTGCCACAGTTTCTTGACCATCGTATCCATCCTATCATCCACATACAGAGTGAATAACCTTGCCACCTGCTTTGGAAATCAGAGAGCTGCCAGCAGAGAATCCCATGGTTTAATCTGTCCCTTTCCCCCCTGCCAAAATCTCCCGTTTTCCGGTCGCAGTGGGAGATTGTGGTGATGCTAAGACCCATCCCAGTGGAAGGGTTCTGCATCTCCTCCACTCCTGCCTTGGTGAGGGCCGTGGGCTCATTTACCCTGTCCTGCTAATGGCCCCTTCCCATGGCCCTTACACACGCCTGGAGACAGCAGGCAGAACCGGTGCACTCCTCCCTTGGTTTCACATGCCCCTTTCCTTCTGCCTTCCCAGCCAAAGCTCCTGGAAGAGCTGTGGATACCAGGTTCATCCTCCCCCAGCATGGCACAGAGGGGCAAGGCCATTCATGACTTCCTGCTCACAGAAGCCTGTGGTCTGGCCTCCCCAGCCTGGTGTCTGTAGTGCAACGGATTCACAACAAATCCGAGGGAATCTGTTCCCAGTGCTGGTCTGCAAATCCGTCCTAGTGTGGGCGTCCAGCCCTTTTTGCTTTGGAGGTTTTGTGTGGCCAGTGCCTGAAAATGTCCCAGGTCTTCTCAGCGAGAGTTTCATTTGGAGTGCTAGGAGAAAATTCATTAAAAAATAATGGCAACAATAAACATGTTAATTATCTACATAAAGCTGTAACAAGGATGTGGTAGGGACATTAAGTACAGTTGTCTGTGGATTTTGAATGAATAATGCTGTGCTTTTTTTTTTAAAGATTTATTTTTATTATTTTTTTATTGGAAAGGCGGATATACAGAGAGGAGAGACAGAGAGGAAGATCTTCCATCCGATGATTCACTCCCCAAGTGAGCGCAACGGCCGATACTATGCCCATCCGAAGCCAGGAGCCTCTTCCAGGTCTCCCACGCGGGTGCAGGTTCCCAAAGCTTTGGGCCGTCCTCGACTGCTTTCCCGGGCCACAGGCAGGGAGCTGGATGGGAAGCAGGGCTGCCGGGATAGAACCGGCACCCATATGGGATCCCGGGAGTGCAAGGCGAGGACGTTAACCACTGCGCCACCGCGCGGGCCCAATGCTGTGCTTTTATAAAAAAATTTCTTGTATTTTGTTTTTGGAAGTGCATTTGTTACTGGCATGCTTGGCTTTTTTTTTTTTTTTTTTTTTTTAAAGATGTACTGCTTCATTTGAAAGGGTTACAGAGAATCACAAAGAGAGCCTGCTCCCTCTGGTTCAGATCCCAAGTGCCTGCACCAGGCAGGGCTCAGCCATGCCAGAGCCAGGAGCCAGGGGATGCATCTTGTTCTTTCAAGTGGGCAGTACTGGGGCCATCCTTTGCTGCTTCTCTGGACCCTTAGCAGGGAGCTGGATTAGAAGTGCAGCAGCTGAGACATGAACCCGTGCCCGCATGGGATGCTGACCCTGAAGGCACTGGCCTGACGGGCGCTTGGCTTCTGATGATGTCAGCAGTGTCCAGTGGCAGTTAGAGGACTGGCCGCCTGTAGCACCACAGCTCCTGGCTGTGCAAAGTAGTGAAAGTGCTCTGTGCTTTGGGGAGACTCTTAGATCCTGAGGGGAAAGACTGTGTGGTTCTGGGGAACAGATGAGGCTTCTAACTAGTTCCTCTAATTAAAAGAGTCCGGTCTTGTTTGGTGAGAGTACCTGGGTGATTGAGTGTGTGTGTAACAGATGAGTTCTGTGGGGGCCCCGAGAGCCCAGGCGTCAGGTTTTATGTATACCGTCTTGCTTCCATTATTGTTTCTTTGCCTTTTAATCCCAAACCAGAGTCCTTACCATTTGTGTTTCCATTGATTGGTAACCTTGCTAAAATTACAAGACTGTCTCCCTTCAGCCCAAGGCTTAAAACATAAATACTTGTTCTTCATCTGCAGCAATACATAGAATGTTTTAGTTACTTTAGCTATGTTGTGTGTCTAGAGGGAGAGAAGGGTAAGAGAAGCCCAGGGTAAGGGCCGGCGTGCAGAGGTGCTCTGGCTGCTCTCTCCAGTTCTGTGCCCCCTGGGGGACCCTCAGTCTTCTCAGGCCCTAACCCTGTCGGTTGGGCCTTGGGCCCTGGGCCCTTTCCACGTCACACGTGATTGTGTTTGCATTGACCCTGATGCTGGGCCAGAGCAGTTTGGAAAGCTGAACTGGGGAGTTCTTGATCCTGGCAGTGGGTTTGTCCTACCCTCTGTCTTTTGTTGGTGCAGTTTGTGGCAGGGCTGATGCCGTCTCGGGAAGAGGGGAGTCTTGAGTTCACAGAGAACCCAAGG